CAATAACAACTTTATAGCTGTCATTTCATGTCTAAAATTATAAGTTTTAAATTTGATGTTTACTTCTATGAGTTTGGTAATTATCATTGTTTAATAACTTATCTGGTAATTTCAATATTTGATCTGGTGTTTTAGTGAGGTTTTTTTTCCATTATATCTTCATGTACATAAATACCTTTATTGCATACAATTGCATGTGATATATTAGTGGTAGAAATGAGGTCTAGGATGATTTTTATATGCCTTAGAGAAAAATTTTATGTTATTTTTGCCAGATTCCAAATATCTTTGTTGTTGTTTTTGTCAAGTGCAACTCATAGCAACTCTACAAAAGACCATTAATGCCTTTCCATAACTATTGTCATTTCTTCAAGTTCATAGAGTTTCCAGAGGCATGTGGTTTAGGAAGTGGATGCCACTCCTGCTTCCAAACCTGGTTTACAACTGGGAACTCCACCAAACACTGTCCACATCGGGAAACTATTCTGGCACCAATAGTACAAGGTTCAGAATCGCAGAAAACCCAGGCTACTTCCTACAGCACATTGACTAAGAGTGATGTACAAAGTGGAAGAGTGTTCTTCCAGATATAACAGCACTGGCTTCATTTATCAGTGGTTAAGGGTTGTCAAGCTGAATATGACTGAGAGTTAAGCTTTGCACAAAAGATCTGAACTCTGTTCTATAACTAACACAATTTCTGTACAGAACTCTGTTCTATAACTGACATTATTTTTGTACATTTATAGAGTTTAGAAAGTTTGTAGAGTTTTTAGAGGCATGTAGTTTAGGAAGTGGATGTTACTCCTGCTTGCCAGCATAAATCTATCTGGAAGCTCATCCAAACACTGTACCTAATGGGTAACCATGATGGTATTTGACAAGACTGTGGAACAATGTGTAGCATCACAGCAATACAAAGTTGTTCAGTTCAGCAAATAGACAACAGATTGCTGTATCATTTAAGGAATAAAGCCACACCTTTGAGCAGATCTTCACCCGAGGCAAAGGCTCAAGGACACCTGCTCTTGAGGGGGTGGAAGAACAGTAATTCACATCAAACAGGACCCCAAAAACTTCGCTTACATGATCAAGAGGACTGCCATCAAGAAGCCAAATATCTTTAACAACACAAAATTTACTCTCATGTTTCCAAGACTTGAGATTTTGAGAAGATATGTTACTCAAACCAAGATTGAACCTCTGTGAAGTATGGGGTTTTCCCCCCCATTTTACCTTGATATGAAATCATACTCTCTGACTGCTGTTTAATAGTAACTGACTCAGAGCTGGTCCTTCATTGGGTTTCTGAGGCTGAAGGAGATTGCCTGTATTTCTCCTTGGGGACCACTTATGGACCACCAGAAAGGTGCTGCCTTTGGGTGAGCAATGCAACTCCCTACGTACCACACTACCAGAGATCACTAGATATGGGATATTATTGTCATTGTGTTCTGTCAAGTTGGAACTGACCCACAGCTGACCCTCCAGTGGCGTTTCAGAGGCAGCCAATCGAACAGGAGGAGATAGTGCAGAGCAGCTGGTGGATTCCCATCATGTACATTCAGGATTATAGGGCAGCTTCTTACCACTAGGCCACCAGAGTTCTTTAGACAAGGAATAGTTAACTAGAATTCCCACCCTTTTCATGCCCTTGACTCAAAATGTGGTTCTCTTTGTCCTGAGAACATACAGAGTACTGTTTTGAGGGTTTTGTTTCTGGATTAGCAAACCTGCTAATAAAAGTAGTCCCCAATGTCAAGTTTACATCTTTTCCAGATACTAAAATTCCATACCACTGTGTGATTTCTATAATTTTAAAATATCATTCCATTTTTTAAAGTGTTCTTTATAAAAGAGATGATCCAAGTTAGCACTGTAGAAAACTATATGATATGCATAATACTTGTTCTACTTAAACTCCAAAGATTCATTTAGTTAATACAGAGCCAAAAATCAAGCGATATTTTAAGTAGAGTGATGATATAATTTTATAAGCTAATACTTGAAATCAAACCATTAGACTATATTAGTCTAAACTACTCTGAAAAATGTAACTTGAATTTTGTTGAGTCATAACTTGAAAAAAGCTAGCCAGTTGGCATTTGTATAGGGCTTTGCCAGGAAATTGAAATTAAAAAAAAAAGGATCCATTACCCAAGGAATCTGGTTTATATTTGGAAAAACATCTACCAACACAATGTGAAAGATGGAAAAGGCTTTCTTTAAAAATCAGCTAATTAAAAAACAACAACAACCCTAAATTAAAAATAAAAGAGAAGACCTCAAAATAAACCATTCTTACATTAAGCACAAAATATTAATTTCAAGTGAGAATAGATGGAAGTAACGGAAATTTTGTATCATCTGATCAACTGGTGTAGGAGTGTTGGTGGTGCAATGTTTAAGCACTTGGTTGCTAACTGCAAGTTGGCCACTTACATCCTCTGGATATTTCACAGGGAAAAGGTGTGGTGGTCTGCTTCCATAAAAATTAGAGCCTTGGAAACCATATGGAGCAGTTCAATTCATAGGCGCAATGAATTGGAATTGATTCTGAAACAATGGGTTTTATTCTTGTTTTGGACCAACTATATTTCACTTTATCAGATACTTCTATTACTAATCTCTCTAGCAGTCTATCCTGGAAAATTACATATAAGGTAGGTGAAATCTTCTGTGAAAATAATGCCTTTTTCTAAGGGTCAAAAAGAGTAAAGACCCTAGGAAACAATTAGTCTAAAAGACTAATGGATCATGTGAGCCACAGTCTGCATGAGCCTGGGACAAAAAAGACTACCAATGCTAAGTGCTCTGAATAAGAACATAATAAAAGGTTCCTGATAGAGCTGGAGAAAAATGTGCAAAACAACCAAAACTAAAAATAATTTAACAAAACTCCAAGCTTACTAGTCTTAATGAAACAGGTGAAATTTCCAAGGCTCTGACCCTTAGAAATCCTTCAGGTCTGGAACTGAACACACCCCCATGCATCAGCTTTCAACTAAACAATAGGCAGGTCTCTAAGAGTATAATAACACTAAGGAGGTACACATTACTCAGAAAAATAGACAATAGAAGATCAGAAGAGCAGCATTTTCCCTGGAATAAAGCTCAGAAGGCAGGAAGGATGGAAAAGAAGCATGAATGGAAATGAGAAACACAGAGGAAGTAGGGAGCATGCTGTTACATTGTAGGGATAGCAGTCAACATCATGAAACACAATATGCATGAAGTGTTGAATGGAACACTAATTTTACTATAAACTTTTACCTAAATCATATTACAAATTTTAAAAGGCAATAAAATGTTTACCATCTGATTAAAAGAAACAAACAAAATAACAAAGCTGACATCATTCTTTCTTTTTCTATGTTTGGATTCAGAAAAAAATAACTAAATCTTCTGAAGACATATATTTATCATGACATCACAAACACAAAATGAAGATCCAGCATGTTAAGACAATAAATCAACAGAGATTGAGTTGGTAAACAAATGAAAATATTATGAGTGGCCTAGTGGTCAGGCTTCATCCCACATACTTTGGGCATGTTGTTAGGAGGTGATATTCCTTGGAGAAGGACGTGACTCTGGGAAGGGTGGAGGATCAGGGTGGAGAGGAAGACCCTCAACCAGGTAGAGTGACATTGTGATTGCTGCAATGGGCTTTGTGTTTCAGGAAGTGTGAGGATGTCACAAGATAGAGAAGGGTTCAGACCTTTTGTTCACAGGGTTGATATGAGTTGTACTCGACTAGACAGCACCTAACAACAACAGTGGTAAGGAGCTGTGCAGCCATCCCAAAGGCACCTGGTTCAAATCCACCATGTGCTCTGTAGGAGGAAAATGGTCTATCTCCTCCCATGAAAAACCTGCAGGAGGATCAGTTATGGGTCACTAAATGGTACTAAATGGTGACTAAATGGTACACAAAAACAATATTATCTACCTCCTAATTTGTTGGTACTTGGAAAAGGAAAAAAAAAGTCCTTATATTTTAAGTTACTAATTGTGGAGTTTTCTATAAATTGACATTGAAAAAATTCTTAAGTAATAAGCTCATTGCAATCAAGTTAATTCTAACAGTGATCCTAAAGGACAGAGTAGAACTGCCCCAAAGGGCTTCTGAAGCTGTAGATATTTAAAGGAAGAATTGCCTCATCTTTTTCCCCAGTGAACTTACTGGTGGGTTCACATGGCCAGCTTTTCTTTTAGCAACTGAATGCCTGATCTAAAATGCCACTAGGAACACTAATTTTACTATAAACTTTTACCTAAATCATAATACAAATTTTAAAAGGCAATAAAATTATTACCATCTGATTAAAAGAAACAAACAAAATAACAAAGCTGACATAATTCTTTCTTTTTCTATGTTTGGATTCAGAAAAAAATAACTAAATCTATTCCATCCACTAAGGACCTCTCAAGAGTACTGAAGAGCAATGACATCATGCTGGAGACTACGGTGTGCCTGATCCAGGCTATAGTCTTTGCAATTATGTGCTATCCATCAGAGAGTTGGACAGTGAATAAGGATGATAGAAAGATAATTGATGCCTTTGAGCTTGGTGATGGAGACGAGTGTTGAATATACCATGGACTGCTAGGAGAACAAACAGGTTTGACCTGGAGAGGGTGAAGCCAGAATGCTCCTTGGAGTCAAGGATTCTGAAGCTTCATCTGACATACTTTGGACATTTTGCAAGGAGGGACTGGTTCTTGGAGAGGGACATCATGTTTGGGAGAGTGGAGGGACGCCGCAGGAGGGGAAGGCCCTCTATGAGATGGATTGATTCTGTGACTGGAGTGGTGGGAATGAATGTGTTTGAGACAGCGAGGTTGGCACAGGATAAAAAGGCAGTTAGGGCTCTTGTACATAGGGTCGCTATGAGTCGCAAGCGACTCAATGGCACATAACAACAACAACAAGGAGCTCCAGTGGCAGTGTGACCAAAGTATAACTGGAGACAATGCTTGACATTTTTGTCACTTACCATAATACAAGAGTCCTGAAGTTCAAGATCAAAGTCTGTGAAGTTTAAGAGAACACGGTAGTGTCTTTCAACTTGAATGACCCAGGCACATTCAGTGTTACTCCTATAAGGACTGGGATAATTTGGAGAATGGATTTCTCCACTGGGAGCCTTGAAAATACCACCACAACCTGTGAATGAGAAACATTCAATTAGGAGAAGAATCTAAAACTCTACACCATTATTTGTTACCATAGTTCAAGATTTAACTTGCTGACCCATCAGTTTTATTTAGTCTATACTATGCATTATAAAGAACTAAGTATCCATCACTGATTCATTTAACTCAACAGAGTGAAGGAGTATGATATAATAGACAATAAATGATTTTTTTATAAAAAAATAAATGAAGACACATTTTCATGAAATACTTCTTCATTCTTCTCTAAGAACATATAGTATACCAGAAGAGTAGCACATCTCTCTTCCAACTTTTGATAATTCAGTATTCTATGTCTTTATGAATAGTTTTAATATCTCTCTTTTAAATTTTGAATATTCTATGGCTACCATTACTGAATAGTTTGGTGATTTAATATAAAAATCTGATCAAAACGGGAAAATGTTGGACAGAATTTAAAATTTTAATGAATTCTAGACTTTGTGGTATGAAAAGTATGGTATCAGGATTGGACAAAGATTCCACAACAATCTGTATTATGCAGATGACACAATTCTGCTTGCTAAAACCGAGGAGGACCTGAAGTGCTTGCTGCAGAAGGTCAAGGACTGTAGCTTTGATTGAGGCTCAATATCAAGAAAACAAAAATTCTCACCACTGGGCCAATTTGCAGCATCAGGCTGGTTGGTGAAGAGACTGAGATTGTTAACAACTTTAGTTTGCTTCGCTCTACAGTCAACGCTCTTGGCACCAGCAGCCAGAAAATTAAAAGACACATTGTGATGGGAAAGACTGCTGTTAGAGACCTCTCCAAAGTACAGAAGAGCAATGGTATCACTCTGGAGACTAAGGTGTGCCTGACACAGGCCATGGTCTTTGCAGTCACTTGCTATGCATCACAGAGCTGGACAATGACTAGGGATGATAGAAGGAGAATCCATGCCTTTGAGCTGTGGTGTTGGAGAAGAGTATTTGATATACCATGGACTGCTAAGAAAACGAACAGGTTCATCTTAATGAGGGTTAAATCAGGTTGTTTCTTGGACACAAGGATTCTGAAGTATCATCTGACATACTTTGGACATATTGCAAGAAGGGACCATTCATTGGAGAAAGACATCATGCCTGGGAGGGTGAAGGGACAGCGCAGGAGAGGAGGACCCTCTGTGAGGTGGATTGATTCAGTGACTGGGGTAACTGGGTGGGTGTGTTGGAGACAGTGAGGTTGGCACAGGATAGAGCAGGGTTTAGGGCTGTTGTACATAGGGTTGTTATGAGTCACAGGCAACTTGACAGCACATAACAACAACAGCAACAGACTTTCTGGAGCCAAGAAGAGTAGACAAACTCATGAAATTATTGTCTTGAGATATTCTTTAAACCTTAAACCAAAAATATCCCCAGAAGTCTTCCTTAAACAAAACAAAAGTTTAGTTTAACTAGTGAAGAATGAATCTGCTTTGTGTATTATTCTAAGAATTATCTCTACAGGATCAAATTAATAACAAAACCTTAAAGGATTATATTCAAACCCTGTAGGAAGAGCAGGGAATTTATGTTAATGCAGGAAGAACAACTCAGAAAAAAAAGATAATAACAGGTGCACAATGGAAAGAATGGGATCAATGTCACAAAATTGTATATGAGAAGTGGATGAACTGGTGAATGTTTTGCTATGTATATCCACAACATCAAAAACAATTAAAGAAGAGATGAAATACTTTAGACCAAGCTTGTATACTTCAATTTCTTCACTCCTATGATGTTATCAAGTACCTGCTAGTACAATGTCTACATATGTGACTCAGTATTTCTTGGTTTTATGATGGTATTGTTAGCATGATGAGTTTCTCAAATACACGGCCTTTCTAGTCCTGAGTTTGTAATTTTCCCAAAATGCTTGGCCAGGTTACAATCTTGCAAGGGATTAATCTATTTACTAGTCACATGATGTTGTTAGGTGCTATGAGTACGACTCATAGTGATCCTATGAACAAAAGATGTGAACCCTGTCCTGTCCCGTGCTATCCCCATACTTCCCAACACAACAAGATCCCATTGCAGCAGTCACCATGTCAATCTACCTGGTGGAGGGTCTTCCTCTCCTTCTCCAACCTTCCACCCTTCCCAACATCATGTCCCTCTCCAAGGAATAGCACCTCCTAGCAACATGTCCAAAGCATGTGAGGTGAAGCCTCATCATTCTTGCCTCCAAAGAGCACTCTGGTTGCATCCTCTACAAGAAATATCTATTTGTTCTCTTGGGCATTCATGGAATGTTCATTCATGGAATGTTCTCCAACATCACAGCTCAAAGGCGTCAATTCTTTTTCTGTCATTCTAATTCATTATCCCAGTCTCAGATACATAGCTAGTAATAGGAAAGACTATGGCCAGAATCAGATGCACATTGGTCCTCAAACTGACATCACTATTCCTCAGTAATTTGGAAAGGGCCTCACTGCAGATTTTCCCAGTGCAATGTGTCTCCTTATTTCCTGAGTGCTGGTACCAAGGGTGCTAATTGTGGATAATTCACCCTGAAGGATAAGGCAACTTGCAGTCCACTCAGAGTATGCATTTCTACTGGTGGTCAAGTGTTCAGATTGTCTACATAAGAAGTCAATATCACAGAGCCTTATTAGGGACCACGAGACTTCCAAGATGAGGCTGGAGAGCATTGTTGGGCTTCTGATGCTTTACACATTTATGGGGAGAGACTGCTCATCTTTCTACCAAGGATTGACTGTTGGACCTGAATGGATGACTTTTCATTTAGTAGTCTAACATGTAGCACTATGCCACCAGAACTCCTTCACTGGTTTATACTGTTATGTATTGTCATCTAATTGGAGCCAACAGTTTATAATTGATTGAGTGGTAAGAATGTAATAAGTATGGCTTATGTAGCTTCAGTGGTTGTGAAGATTATTAGCTGTTAAAATAATTCATTCTATAATTAGTTTGCATCAAAATCTGTACCAACTAGTTTATATAGACTGTCCAAAGTGGTATAATCCATATTTGAATTTTGTAAATAAACTAGCATAATAAAAAATATTTTTAAAAAGTTGAACTAACCCAAAGGTAGTGCTTCTCAGGTGGTTTGAAACCACTAGTATTTCCATGGGAGAAAACTCCCATGAAATTTATAGTCTCTGAAAACACACGATTATTGTTGGTTTTAGGTGCTGTTGAGTTGAATGAGACTCATAATGACCCTGTTAAGAACAGATCTGAACCTCATCCTATCCTGTGCCATCCCCATAGTCTCTCACATACTCAAGTCCATTGCTGCAGTCACTGTGTCAATCCACCTAGTTGAGAGTCTTCCTCTCCTTTGCAGTCCATCCATCATTCCAAGAATGATGGCATTCTTCAAGGAATAATCTCTTCTAATAATATTCCCAAAGTATGTAAGACAAAGGAAGCTTCATCATCTTTGCCTCCAAGGAGCACTCTGGCTGAAGCTTCTCCAACACATCCTTATTTGTTCTTTTGACAGTCCATGAGCTCTTCAGCATGCTTATCTAATACCACAATTCAAAAACATCAACTCTTCTGTCATGCTTAGTCATTGTCCAGCTCTCAGATGCATAGCAAGTAATTGAAAAGACCATGATCTGAAACAGGTACACCTTAGTCCTCAAATTGACATCATTGCTCCTCAATGATTTGGAAAGGTCCCTGACTACAACCTTCTCAGTGCAATGTCTCTGCTAGTGTAAGTGTATTTATTGTGGATCCAAGTAAAATGAAGTCACTGACAATTTCAGTATTTTCTCCATCTATCATGATGTTGCCTATCTGTCCAAGTGGCTAGGATTTTTGTTTTATTGACATTGAAACGGAATCCATATTGAAAGCTGCAGTCTTTGATTCTGCAGTAAGTACTTCAAGTCCTCCTCACTTTGAGCAAGCAAAGTTGCGTCGTCTGCATAACAAAAGTTATTGATGAGTCTTTCTC